TGGGGCGTGCGGCCACGCTCCCGGCCGCGGGGCAGAGTGGAATCCTGCCGTAGGGCTTCAGTTTCCACCGGCTTAGCTGAAGTGGCCAGAGGTGGGGTTTTTTACCTTTTTAAGGAAAACACGTAGATGGATAGGGTGGGTAGCGTGCGAGCTTTATGTTTCTGTATCCCTACAAGGTGTTATGTTGTACGGGTTGTGGTGTTGATGAGGCTTGACCACTTCAGATCCTGGGGAATATATTAGCCCCTCCTGCAAGGAATGTACAGTGACTAAATGTAAAATTTCAAATTGGAAAAAAAAGCCGTTTGTAGTTTTAAATGCCATTTTGAAATTATAAACTTTAGCACACTGAATACTGATTCTAAACTGTGGTGAGGCAGTCATAACCTATGGACCTCTTTGGTTTATGTTTTTAATTTATTTATTTTAACAAAATTTTGGAACCGTGCAAGTTCTGTAAGTTGTCTTACAGTATCTGTCCTGGTTTTGGCTGGGATAGAGTTAATTTTCTTTCTAGTAGCTGGCATAGTGCTGTATTTTGGATTTAGTATGAGAAGAATGTTGATAACACACTGATGATTTAGTTGTTGCTGAGCAGTGCTTACACTAGCCAAGGATTTTTCAGCTTCCCATGCTTTGCCAGGGGCACAAGAAGCTGGGAGGGGGCACAGCCAGGACAACTGACCTCAACTGGCCAAAGAGCTATTCCAGACCATATGATGTCATGCCCAGTATAAAAATGGGGGGGGAGTTGGCTGGGGGGTAGTGATCGCTGCTTGGGGACAAGATGGGTATCGGTCAGTGGGTGGGGAGCAATTGCATTGTGCATAACTTGTTTTAGATATTCTTTTATCATTATTATTCTCTTCCTCTGCTGTTCTATTAAACTGTCTTTGTCTCAACCCATGGGATTTACCTTTTTCCTGATTTTTTTCCTGATTCTCCTGATCCTCTCCCTGCATCCCACAGAGGGGAGTGAGTGAGCAGCTGCATGGCCCTTAGTTGCCAGCTGGGGTTAAACCACGATGGCATCCTACAGAATTACAGTGATGACAGGGGTTAGAGTTCATGTGTTTCTAGTTCCTTTTACATAAGAAACAACTGGGCATTCTACATTGTAAAGTTTGCTGGAGTAGAATGCAGTGTTGACAGAAAACTGTTTCCCTCTTACAAATGGCTTAGTTTTATCTGTTTCTCAGATTGGTTACTGAGCAAAGTAAAGGGAATTGCTGAACATCTGCTAGTTGAAGTTGCTTTGAGGGGCAAGAAGGTACTAATTTCTAATATGCTGAGTCACTGCAGTGGCCTTTATGAATTTTGAGAATGAAAGGAAGTTCTTGGGGAACTTAGCATTTTTTTTCCTACTCAATGAATACTCAGTTGTGCATTCAGAAGAGTTTCGGCTAGCTGTTCTTTTCTGCTTGTGTATGCCTCAGTGTTTCTTACAGTTTTACAGAGCTGTTAGAAAACTCTACTTGGGTTTCCAGCCAAGCCTCCCCTCCACCCTGCTACAGAACTTCTTTGCTAAATCTAGAGTGGCACAAGAGCAGTTGTTTTTCTATCCTTGGTAAAGTTCACAGCACCTTTCAATATAGTTGGTTCTATACTGTTAAGGTGCTCTTCAGTATTTAATTTCAGTATTTCAGTATTAATTCAGTATTTAATTCAGAGTATCACTGTAATACTATCCCAGTCTTTAATGGAGAGTACTGTTATTAATACGTACCCTATTGAACACTTTCCTGTAATTTAGTATAGTTTTTCTTTCACTCTTCCTTTTTTTTTAGTCTAACCCCTTCATCTGGGTTAGTCTGGTAATGGAGTAGTTCGAGCTTGTTTTGAAACAGCTTTTTAACTTCACAGTTCAATGAACTGTGCTGTGATCTGCAGTCATTACAGTATGTTGCTGTGAAAATTGGAACTCTAGAAGAACAGAATTTCATTTCTGTATGTGTTCCTCTGAACAATTGAAGGTAATCGATAAGTACAACAGAATTCATTCACTATTAACCTTAATGTGTCATTTTGAGTATCTCGTTACCTTGTGGTGTTCAGCAGCTTTGTAAATGACTCCTCCTGTCTTGGCTTTCTCTGAACTTCTGCTTGTTGTCTCCTATATCATAGGAAAAGACAGAATTATATTTGCGACCAAGGAGGACCATGAGACACCAAGCAGTGCTGAACTGGTTGCAGATGACCCAGACGACCCTTATGAAGAACAAGGTCAGTAATAAGCAGAACAGAAGTAAGGAGTGATACATCACATATATCACATTCTCACAATCTTAAAAAAAACCAAGAACAACAAAAAATAAACCGTGTATGCTTGTATGAAGCAGGAACAAAATATTCATTCATTTTTAAAGACTGAGAGCAGCTGGTTATTCAGTTTAGTAGTTTTAACTTCCAAATTAGGAAATCACAAATGGCATGCTTTCCTTACAGTGGGTTTTTTTTGTACACTTTTAATGGTCTTTCAAAGTGGCTGTTCAAATACATCAGTTGATGGCTTATACTTTTGGTATAAAAGTATATCCAGAAAAAAACCTTTTCCTTCCTTTATTTTACTGACAAAGTTAGAGCTTAACCAGTGAAAATTATGATTGTGTTTCCACTGTTTTAAATGATGAAGTGCAATTTTCAGAGAAGCTAAAGTGAGTTACGTACCACTGCCATTGATGCGAGTTGCTCATCTGACTGTGTGCAGCTGACATTGCTGAATCTGGTGATCTCTGAATATCTGATGTAACATAAATTAATCTGACTAATCCTTTACTAGACTAGTAGCAATATAATCAATAACTAGTAGTAATATCTTTCAATGGCACATGATGGGTAAGTTCAAATTAGTCAGTTTTCAACTGTAACCATCTTGCCTTGAAAAGATACTAGTTAAAGTTCTCAGTGAAGATTATAATTCTTATGTGAAGTAGATATAACCTGCAAATGGAGATTTAAGAGAGCAGAATATTCCTGAGATCAAGACTTGTAACATTCTGAGAGCACAGAGCATATTTTAGGTTGCTTCTAATGGGTAAATGAAATAATCTTCCTATTGTGATGATTAAATTTTGCTCTAGGTTAATAAATTGTTATGAACATCTGTGAATTTGGGTTAAATTTTTTTCTGATTGCCTTTATGCTTGCAGGTCTTTTAGCCTCTTTGCTTTGTGTGAAGTGATCTCATTGTTTTCAACTCAGCTGAGACTGAAATAAATGCTTCACCTGTTTTGAAATTTTGTTAGGAAGTAAAAAATATGCAAGTGGCTCTGTGACCTTTAGAGGGCAGCATTTAAGCACAGTTTAGCAGCTGGAGCACACAGGGTTGGTTTGTTAGCTGGTATGGTATGTAGTTTAATTTGAACCATTATCTTCCTCTGTCATTAGAATAATCTTTTTCATACATAGATTTGTGTTGAAATAATTTTGCATTTAGCTGCCTATCTTGGCTTCATTACAACTGTATATAGTCAGTAGGTATATCTGAAAGTTCTGCTCATCAGCAGTGATGAGTCTGTTCAGCTTTATAATGGTCCAAATGAGAATAACGAGATAATTTCAGTTTCATAAAGGTGTTGAAAAACTGCGGTTTAGTAACTGTCAGGAATTATTCTACCTTGTATTTTCAGGTAGGTTGTTGCGCTAGCTAAGACCCAGTACCCAAACTGCCTATTTGGTAGAAACAACCTGTGCTTTGGGATTTGTTATCATCTTCACCCTGGGAATGGTGCTTCAGCCCCTAAAGATTTCAAATGGAGACTCTCGCAGGCAATAAAATATATGTGGCATTTATATCTGTTACTATGTTGATGAGGATGGAAGATGGAACCTACAAACGATTCACATAAAGTAGTTCACCCTTAGGTAGAAAACAGTGTCTGAGGAGAGCTCAGTTTTAAGAGTATTTGCTCCTGTCAGTATGCTAAGTGGAAGTGAAACAAAATCAGAGCTTTTAATTCCTGTCTCAGGAAAACTTAAAATCCATTATTGGTCTGTTAAGTGAAGAGTTAACAGCCTCTAATGATCGCATGGTGGAATTAAGTTCCCCATTCCTTTTCTGTGGCCTGTGGCTTTCTGTTTCCTCTGAAAAACTGGAGACTGCTTGCAAAATAAAACAAAGAAATACATTTTTTTCTAGGTAGCACATCTGGAGAACATACAGACCCTTGGAGATTCTGTCATTCACTGAACTGTTAAGCCACCTTGTGTGGTGTACAGCTGAACTAAGTGGCTTGCTGTTTAGCTAAGTAAATTCATGTATGCCGTCTGTATTCACGTTACATGTGGTTGTTTCAAGTTCACCTATCTTCCCCTTTATAATCATTCATGGTCTTTGGTGATAATTAAATATTCTGTTAGTAAAAGATGTCTATCTAGCAACAGCATGTCAATGCATATTGATCCTATAACTAAGCATCTATTTTTGACACTGGCTTTGAAGGGGAAGGGTGCCTGTTTTGGATCTAGCATAATAGAGAGACATACTACAAAGACTTGAAATGTGAACATCAAAAACAATTCTCTTGGTACCTCTAAAGAGGGGGTTCTCTTCCTTCTGGCTCTTGTCCCATCACTCTGCCCCAAACTATTCTTTTTCTGGTTGTATGTTTATCACAAGTACATAGTCTTGTGCTATATATTTGGATAATAAACTAGTCAAAATAAAAAGAGCCACTTAGTCCTTATTTAAATGCCGTATTCATTGATTCCTCTTCTGTGTGTTTTGCTGGATACGGAAAGGCCATGTCGAGGATGAGGGGTGGTGGCTTTCTTTCTAGCAATCCTGTATTTACAGCATATTAGATCACTTGCTTCCTAAACTATAGAGCACAGAAGAAAACAGGCAAACCCAGAAGCTAGTTATGTCAGGGACACCTTGCAGTGAAAGCACATGTCTCTGCGATTCAAAATGAGAAACTCTGTAAACTCGGTTTAAATGCTGGTAGTAAGCTTCGGTTGGGATTTTTTGGAATGTTGGTTTTTTTCTTAGCATGTGATAAGTTACTGCCATGTTTTATTAAGAGTTGTCTGAATTCTCACTTAAATGATCTCAGGCTATAATGCATCAGATCGAAACAGAGAAACAATTGATGTATTGCAGAATGTGGCTGTATCTAAAGGGAGTGAAATTTGTGGGCAGGAAAGACATATGGGCAAAATGTTTTGGAATATGTTGAAGTGCAGAAGCTTTGGCTTGTGTGGTTTTTATTTAGAAGAAAATTGGAAGGGGCTTTGCTGTACATAAAGTAACATGCAGGCTTTTCTAATTTAGCTTCTACTTTGAATGGAAGACTTGGTTTCCAGTGTTCAACTTCTGTAGCATAATTAACAGTAATGACTCTTTTCATCTTTTCTGCTGTGCTATACACAGAACAGTCGTATCTGGGAAAGAATAGATTTATTATATAGATACCATAATCTGTATTGTTTCCTAATACAGCTGAAACTTTTATTTAAGGTTTTGGTTTTTTGTAGTGGTCTTTTTAATACTTAAAATAAACATGTAATTTGATATTTTTGGATAGTTCTTATTTTGTTTCAGTCATTAACAGAGATTGGCCTCTGAGCAGTCTCAGTAGATCACTCAGGAAAACTTGTGCTTTGTTTCCCTTGGGAGAAAATAAAGATGTATAGTATTCTTTTTTTATTTCTATCGGGTATTAGATTTTTTTTTCTTCTGTCAGTCATGAGATTTTGGTATGTGATGTGTTAGTGGCTCACTTTTTAAGCCAAAAACATTGAAAGAAATGAAGCCATGTGAAATGGGAAGGCAGACAAACCAGGGTAGGTTCAAGTTAGCAATTCATATTGCAGCATATCTCGAAGTTTACTGTATGTGCCTTTTAACAGCTGTGGCTGATGGAAACAAATTAAGAATTCATTTGCAGCCGTTTTGAAATAGTATTCTCACTGCAAAGCTTGTTTCTGATTTTGTGTTGCAGATGGAAGAATTTAAGTGTGAAAGATCTCTAGGTTTTATTGAGATCTTTGCTCCCATCGGTTAGAATAAATTCTTATTTTCTAGGCTTATATGAAGAAGGCACTGGTGAGTTTTATGCATGAAAAATATTTATTAGCATTACAGCTGTGATAGGAGAGTTAGCTAAAAGTGCATATGGAATTGTACCTCAAACACAGGTTGCTGCTGTCCTCTCCCTTCTGTTTTTCCAGACTTGCTCCTGTCATCTTATTTTAGAGACAGTCTTGAAGTGGTTTCCACAGAGGACTGATGAAGCAAAAACGCTATTTCTTTTAAGAAAGAACTTGATGAATGATCAGACGTACAGGACTGTTTTTATGACTGATGTCCCTTTCAATCCTGCTTCCTATGTGTCTGTCATCTTACGTTGTGAATTGTTGGCAGATAAACTTGTTACTGGAATGTTTGTCATATAACAGGGAAGAAACTTCTCTCAGAACAACAGTGGGACTTCATTACATCAAGTACAAAGACAAGTGTTGACATAAATGCAGATGGGCCTGCCTTCATCCATGATATTAACAGATCCCATGAGCTAAGAGAGATTAGGGGTTGTGATGTCAGCAGTTAATTGCTAACGCAAGCCTTGATCTGCTATGGTATAAACAGGGTTGTTTTTTCTTCCCCAGGCGCAGGCTCAAGTAGATTATGACCTACTGGATCGGTGAGGTTCAGACTGCATTTGAAAGAAGTTTTAGTTCAATTTTAATTAAAAATAGTAATCCTGTCTAATGCAGACTTGTGATTCAGGGAGTGATGGATGAAATCTGTGTCCATTTTAATTGTGTTCTAAGCTAGCAGATACATTTACTCATTGAAGCATGTGTTCTGCTGTAATTATCAGTGAGGAAATGCTTGCCTTATTCATCTGTATTTTTGTTTTTTAAATCACGGTTTCTGTGCATATAACATCCAAAACTGATGCTATTTCAGTGATCAAATAGGTGCAAATCAATGCTCATGTGTTATACAAGAGTATACTGTTTATGGGATAACTCTTACATTGTTGTTGAAGTTTGCATGCTTACAAGGCAGTTCTGTCTCCAAAAAGAACAATTTATTTTAAGACAATTATTTTACAAGTAATGTTATTGCTGTAGTGTCATCAGGAACATTTCAAAACTCTTAATGTATTTTTTGTATTTTTGAAGTGTTAGAAAAATGACTGTTTAAAATGACTGGTTGATGTTAGTGAGGAGGAATAGGACTTCAAAATCTAGTTTACAAAGCAAGATGTATTTCTTCTATACTGTATGATCAACATCCTTCTGCTTTCTTATCCTTGGCAATAAGGAATCTGGCACCAGCCATCCATTTCCTTGTCTCAGAAGTTCTGTTTTTCTTCCAGGCAGCTAGAGATGCCATGATGCACTGTACTAGGTATACCTTCTTAGTACAGTGATTATTACAGATATTTTACAAAACTATCTCACCGAATAAAGCAAGATCTATGGAAAATGACTATTACTGTAGTTGACTAAATCATGCTAAGGAGGCTGCTACTTTCTGTAATGAAAAGGAGACTGATCAACACTGAGATTTGACTGACAGTGTAATTTTGTGCTGAACTGCATTGACTGAGTTAGAGCACATCACTGATGAAATAGTAAATCAGGGTAGAGTTTTCCTTTCATTCCTTTCAACATAGCAATGGATATGATGGAGCTACTTTTGCTGTACCAGTATATAAGATTCATGATATTGTGGCCTAGTGTTCAGGGAGTTGGTATGGGAGTGAAACATATGTCTGGAACTTCACGATCCCACAGGACAAAGACTATAAGTAGGCTTATTGAATTCTGTGGGGCTATTTTAGGTAACATCAAGTTACATCAGGCCCTAAATATAATTTCATGTTTGGATGAGAATTAATGCAACGTTGGTCTCTGACAATGGTATTTTCATGCCTGCTTCTAAAGGGAAAGTATATAAACTTGGGGTTTATGCACATGCTGTTAGCTTCTGCAGAAACTGAACCTGAAGATGGCGTTAGGGAAGACTACTAGAGAGGAGGAGAGCAAACTGATAAAGTGGAGAAGAAACCAGCTTGGATCACAACACAGCATTTTTCTTGTTCTTTGTAGATGAACATGACTACATGTATGTTCATGCAGGGTAGAAAAAGGGAATGGAGTTGTATTGCTTTAGAGCAATATGTTACAGACTCTAGAAGCCCACACAACCAAGTCCATTATATTACAGAGGAAATGAGTTCTCTGGATTGCTGCTTGAAATTCATTGTGCCAGTCAGGTGATGCCTCAAAGAACATATGCCAATTTAAATCTTCACCTTGCTCTTCCATCACTGATGTATTTCTGTGATGACTTTAACTGTTCCAGAGCAGAAATTTACAGCTGTTCCAGTTTAGAGTCTAAAGTGAGACCTAACTCACTTTTGGTTGTGATCTAAAGCACAGTTTGGTTTCTGGGAACCAGACAGGCTGGCCTGCTCTCACTATGCCTTGTGTTCTGTGACACATGACTTAATCTGTGTCATACAAATAAACTGATTTTTGTAAATCTGTTTTTCCAGTTCAAATTTTAAGGGGGAAAGTTGCGGGTTAATATTCCAGAGTTCATTTAAAAGAAGAATAAAAATGCATCCATCCATCCGACTTGATTTAAAAGAATTCTAGCCTTAATACTGGAGTTAAATTCTTATGACTTGTATGACACAATTTTAAGGCTTGCTTGTTCCCCTGACAGAGTCTGGCGAGTGGATTTACTTGACTTCAATCTGTTTTGCAGTTTCCTTAGAATATTCTCAGTAGTCTGTAGTCCAGGAGGAAAGACTTAATTTGGGCATGGATATAGAACTAATCTCGCTTGTGCTCAGTAAAGGCTCATACAGATCAGAGAGAAACAGACTGGCCAGGAAGTGAAAGGTGTTCAGCACCCTTGAAGTTACAGAACTGATATGGCATTGCCAGTACTTCAGTTTACACCTGCAACCTAGCAGCTTTCACTGACTGAAATCAATTTTTTTGGAAGGAGCGCTTAACTCTTTCTTTTCTTTTGTTTGTTCAGGATTGATATTGCCCAATGGAGATATCAATTGGAATTGCCCGTGCCTGGGTGGAATGGCTAGTGGTCCCTGTGGGGAACAGTTCAAGTCAGCCTTTTCTTGTTTCCACTATAGCACAGAAGAAATAAAGGGATCAGACTGTGTGGACCGAGGATGAAAATGAAGAAAAAGAGAAGTCAAGCAAAGATTTGGAAGCTGCTTCTATGGAGGCTTCTGCTGCCAAAGAGGAGAAGGGATCTAGCTAATGAAGATGCGAGGAGGCTGTTGTCTCCATTTCTCACTTCCAGAGACCTGGACTTTTGCAGTATGTCTGTTCTTCTGAGTTGTCAAGAAATGTTTCACCATTGTTCTATGCACTGTATCATAGTAAATAATTTATTGCTGAAGGAGAAATCTCAGTGCTACAGCCTTGCAAATAAATACTGCAAAAAGAATGAGTATCTATATGTATTGTGTAACCTGCTATCAGACACAGTTAATATTTCAACAGCTGTTTTTTACCTTCAAGTTCTCCTTGAGTTTTGACTGGAACAATGTCTTTATATAGCTTTCAACTAAAATTCCACTAGCACACCAGGTCTGTCTTCATTTAAGTATGTTCTGATCCATAGCTGCTCTTTTAAATGTATTCTGTTCCATTAATAGAAATTGCATTAAATGATTGTTTTCCCTTAAAGATTTTTTTGCCAGAGTGATACAGGACATTAAAAATTACATAAATCTAAAATTTTCAAAATAATTTCAAATGGTCATATTAGATTACGGTTCCATCATCAGGTAAGGACTGCCAGAAATATGTTGAATGGTGTATCTCCTTTGATTTCATTTACTACTTGTGATGGCTTCTGCATTTTTAAAAGCAGTGTGTTGCACAACTGTTGAATGTAAAGAATGTTGGTCACTGGCTTTATTTTTTGCTCTGAAACCACAGTTTTTGGGTTCTTTTAGTTAGTACTTGCTCCTTCAGTGTTTAGACAGGCTCTTGTAAAATACTTTGAGAATACAATGAAAATGTTACCTGGTGTAATGATCTCAAAACAGATACTGTGACTTAAGTGCATATTAAAAAGCAAATATTTTTACCTTCATTGAAAGCTCCTGTTTGTGTGATGTGGGTTTTTTTTGTTAATGCTGCTTGGATTTAGGATACTCTTCTGTGTTGTAAGCAGACTTTGAATGAATTTGTGGGTTGTGAAGATCAGTTCCTTCAGCTTGTCAGATTTTTAATCTTGTCCCATTCTTTTTCTTCCCAGCCCCAGGCAGGAAGGTGTATAAAATGTAAAGCATTTTCAGTAGCTATAGTAGACTATGGATCATGAGCCAGCACTACAGAGGACCTGAACAGCTATTAAAAAAATATTTGAAAACTACTTTAGAGGTGCAAATAATTAATAGTAATTCATGATCCTGTGGATAAGGGAATGCTACATTGTTTTTCTTTCCTAACAAAATGTAGGCTTTGAGAACTGTATTACAAAACAAATTGTACCTGTGGCTTCAGTAACTGTCCATTGCGGAGTTGTTTGGGGGTTTTTTCCTCTCCTTATGTGCTAGCTAACCAAGGCATAAAAAGTTGTAGTGGCAATAATGCAGCCCAGTAAGTAGTAATGTTTAAACACTTGCCTGTCTCTGCAGGCAGCAGTTGTGAGTGCTTGGCAACATTGCTTCCTTACAAAGTTTTAGTATCTTGTTGTTTGCATAAATTATTTCAATGTCAGTGATGATGCTTCTGAATGATTCAGGGGAATTTCTATTAAATTTCACAGTGTGTTTGAGTTGCTTATATTTCAGTACAGCTGTTGGATCATCAAAAAAAAAATGTAGGTAATTTAGTGGCTGACAACTACTCAGTTCTGAGAGTGTGGATAGCAGATACTCTCAGTGTCTCTCTGCTTTTAAAAGAAACAAAGTGTGACAGAGCTTCTCAGTGTGACTCTTTCAGGTGTAGGAAGAAAAATGCCAACCTGAGTAAATGGGCACAAAAGCAGCAGTGATAAACCTTGGCACTTAGGCAGTTAGACCATGAAAATGAAATCTTAGGCAATCAGATAAACACTGGGCACCAAATAAAAAAAAAATCGCATGCATCCAAGCTTTTGGTTGTTCAAATGGAAATCCAACGCGTTATTTGTGAAGAAGCAAGAGGTGTTTGTGAAGGGGCACTCTGTTCTAAGAACACTTTGCCTCCTATTTTTTTCTGCTGTGCTTTTCTTTCCCACACTGCATCAATGCTCTACAGGTTTTGGATTTATCCTCTGTAACAGGATTTATAGTATCTGTGTACAAAACATAAAATGCAAGAATTGTGGCCCTACAGTAGCTAGGGACTGGAACCTAACACTGACAGGGAACTTGCAGTTGTCCTGGTTTCGGCTGGGATAGAGCTAATTTTCTTCATAGTAGCTAGCACAGTGCTGTGTTTTGGATTTAGTACCAGAAGAATGTTGATAACACACTGATGTTTTCAGCTGTTGCCATGTAGTGCTCAGACTACTCAAGGACTTTTTGAGCTTCTCCTGCT